AGGCTTATATACATAGAAGATCTGGGTATACAAACATCATTGGTCTTCACCCAATGAACTTCAAAAAATAGACAACGAAAAAAATTAAAACAAAAAAGTTTCCTCATTAGGTATTAAATATGCATTCTTATTACTTTTCTCCAGAATTAAAAATGGCAATTCTTTCGTTTTGTCCTGAACATTAAACATATCTGCAAAACGTCATCCACGTGTTTTGTCTACTTTTGACTTTAGAGCCACGTGAAGTTTTCTGGAAATCTTCAAAAATTTCAGTAACCCCAATCTTTGTCCAGCATTAGAAAAAAGACTGGTACAAGTATAAATTTTCTTAGTGATAAGAAATGTGAAGAGGAAAGTTCAATTTGCACACTTGAGCAAAGTTTGATTGTCAAAAATGTGAAATATACTTTAAAATGACTTTCGCCATTAATCGCTGGTAAGGAAAGCAACCCAAAAAACTAATAAGTACTCGCATTTTAGTAGTTAACGCTGGAATAAGCACTTGTAACGCAAGCATTTAGCGACTATGGCCAGCGGGTCCTTACGTTATCAAGTTCACGATATATACCAATTCTAGTGTTAGCAGCATGAATCAATGAATTCAATCTGCGTCTACTTGGCTGAGGCAGTTACATACTTCTTTTTAGTTGTAAATAATATTTATTCTTGAAAGCACGCCACGTCAACGTTTTCTACTTTTGATTCTAGGGCCACGTGAAGTTTTCCAGAAGATTTCAAAAATTTTCACTATCCCATTCTTAGATCGGCAACAACAAATATTGATGCAAGTATTCTATTTTTAGTTTGTTTATAATTAAGCACAAAGCTACACAAAGGGCTATCTGTGCTCTGCCCACCACGGGTATCGAAACCCGGATTCTAGCGTTGTAAGTCCGCAGACATACCGCTGTGCCACTGGGGGGCTTATCTTTAGTTACTCTGAACAAAATGTTATATGGTGAATTAGGAGCCAAGATTAATGTAAATGTTGTTTTAAAGCATATGAATAGAATAATGCAACGTGAGTGATGGCAACTTGCTTTATTTTGCTTTGTTAAAATCACCTATTGTTTGGAATAAAGCAGAATTTAAACTTTTCTTTTTTTTGGTTAAACGTTTTTCGATAAATATATATATATATATAAATTCTTCGAACTTAATCTTTTACATATTTCTGTCACAATATTCTATTGTTTTCTGTTACGATAATTTGTATCATACTAATATATTCTACATTTTATGAAGTACTTTTTATCAGTTCTGAATTTCAGATAAGTTCTCAAAATCTAATGAAGCTTATGTAACTTATAAAAATAAAATATATGCTACTCTGGAAACACAATACAACTTACTATCACTTCCTGGTATTATGTTTTTTAGCTGGCCATTCTATTCCTGGGGTTCAAAGAAAATACAATGTCAATACCATGTTTAGTTTTATTTGATCTACGATAACGAATAATGTATATTCCACTTATATATTGATGATATATATAATATCTACTAGAAACAAAGCAGCATGATAAATAACGTCTTTTCTACAAAAACGTAAGATACAAGATTCCACTTATATACTGATGACATATAATATTGTTATGGCAGCGGAAGTCACGCTGGTAACACGTAATGAGTATCTAGAAGGATCGTGGACATCAGAATAATCCAGTATTTGCTAGACGCCCTCTATTCCTGTATATAAGCAGGCAAATAAAGCGAGATAATTAATTGAATTGCAGACAGGCAGAGATAGAGACGGATAACTGAGTCAAGCGCGGTAGTGACCATAAGTAAAATACGTGAATCGTTGTGAATTATAGCGTGTGTTTAAATTAAAGTGACTGTGGAAATTAAGTGTATTGCAAAGTTGTATTGAGAAATAATAAACTAGTTTTATTTAAGAAAGGGCTTGTATCGCTGAATTTTTTCGGAAAGAATTTCTACGGAAAATTAACGAACGACCAGAGACGTAACAATATCTACTAGAAACAAGGCGGTATGATAAACAATGTCAGTTATAAACAAACGATTTAAGAAGAATTGCTATTACCCAATAAGCTGGTTCTGATTTTCAAGTAGCTTAGCAATAACAAAACAACTAAGCAATCACTGAAGCCAGTCAAAATTGCTAATTTTTCGGACAAGCATATAAATAATGCTTGAATAATCAGAGAATTAATATTGCTTTTGTAAAGAGTAACAAGAAGAGGAGTAACTAAATTTTGATATAATTTATTGTAATTTTGTTTTATATAAACATTTGCCATTTACAGAAACTGGAATTCTTTAATAACAATAATGTGTATGTAAAATGTTCATGTTGGTTTAGGTCTGAAATATCATTTTTGAGTTATTATGTCACGGAAGGTCACCTTAATATTCTTGTGTCACAAGATGAGACTTCCGTTAAAACACAGTAGTAGTTATTATTATTATACTAACGCATAGCCCTTCAAAAATGACGGGACAACTACTACCACCACCACCCCATAGTATACCCTAACCTCACATTGCAAAGCTAACTGAAATAAATAAATTTTGCGAAATCAAGCTTAATTAACAAAGAGGCAGAAAAGTGCAGTCGAGGTAGTAAAACGTTGGTAAATTCCTTTGTAAGCCAATCAAAATTAAGACCATTCATGAAATTAATTCGTGGCGTATTCATAGAATCAGTTAAAACGATAATGGTAAAAATCAGTCAGATTAACAACTTCTAATATATATAAAAAAGCCAGTGCGTTTTGTTAACACTACGTTCCAACATCTAATACTGTTGTTAGTTTATGTACTGAAAGCATAAAATGAAATGTATAGACAACAAAATTGGAAAAATATTTGTTGATTTCTTAATTTAAAGTCTCCGTTGATTAAAGAAGTTTTGTTTTG